TTTTATCCATAACGTTGAATGTGTTAAATTATTCAATTTTTTAACAAGAAAAATCCCAAGTTGATGTTAAAAATTGCCGTAAAACATTGATTTATTTAAGATGTAATGATCTATTATGATATGTCTCTAATTTGTATTTAGATACATTGTATTAATTTTCAGTTTTTCTTGTTAAATTGTTCACCTATATTGCATTATTGTATATAATTACGCTACAATAAAATTTATATTTTATATAAATACTATCTTATGAAAATTGAGATGTAGTAGAGTAGAAGCCTTGTATCATAGATTGTAGAGAACACAAAACCCTTACACCCAGCCCTAGGCTAATGCAAGGCTGAAAAAGGATGAAGTAAGTGTAAATTATGAGGATATGTGGGATAGATAACAGTTGATCCTAGACTTGAACAGATTAAGATTGCAGTGATTGGGAGAAGAATCCTTTTATGAGATTGTTCCACAAAGTAGTGGCTCCCGGGATGACGTTGTCTGAATGGAATCAAATGTAACATGAATGAAATGAGGAGGATTCAACGCTATCTACATGGCTTGACGGATCCTAACCTGTGAAGGTCTGAACTGGTGGAATTAAGGAATGTAGCTCGTCTGAACATGGACGTACCGATAGAGTAAGAGATAGGCTTGTGACATTTCGTCTATGGAGAAGGGGTTCTAGGGTTGAAAATAATTCATCACCCACAAGGCCGCGTAAATGATTTTGAACTCTCTCGAACGCTTGAATCTGGTTTTCATTAGAGAGTATTTTCCTCGTGAAAGTGTTTTGAAGCGATTGAAAATGGTAATAATCGATTGGTGTAAGCTCAGTAAAATATGGCATGTTGGAGGTAGAACAGACCAACCAATTTCCAAATTATTATTTCTTTATGTTCTTGCTGTATGCGGCCCTGAATTGTCACAGAGGTGAACAACATTTTTCTTAAAATAGGGCGGATTTATAAATTAATAAATAAATAAAAAAGCCTCCCTTTCTTTAGAAATTGCTTTGTTTGCGTTAGGATACTAAACTGAGCGGATATGACTATTTCGAGGGTCAGAGTAAAATCTGTGTTTAAAGGCACTATCCAACTGTGCGTGACGATCGACACACTCTGTGGCCGAGAGATTCAAAGTACGTAAGATCGAATGAGGTTTCGAATCCTCCGGGAGAGGTCACATTTTTCTTTGACAAGATTTCTCAAATATTCAGGCCGATAGACGAAAATAAATAAATATACTGTTTAATAGATAAACGGAGCGGCTACTTAAATACTAAAAATAACGTTTAAGTAATAAAATCTGTCGGATTAATAAATTTAAAAAAAATTAAAAATCCATCCCTTTCTGTTTTATATATATATATATATATATATATGTATAAGTGAACATAGAAGTCAACACTTAGAGGCGACAGTCTGTTTCATGCATATTTTCATGCGTCAGGCCTATAAAATAAAAATACATTAAAATATGGCCTGACGATTGCATCTAGCATAAAACAGACTGTCGCCTCTAAGTGTTGACTTTATGTTCACTTTTATATTTACACACGCTCTATCTCTGATATTGAGCAATTTATCCCATAAATATAGCACATCTTGAGACTATATATATATATATATATATATATATATATATATATATATATATATGTCAAGATCTGTCAGTTTCATTCTTATTGTATTTTTCCAATTTTCAAATTAAATGTATAAATCAAGAACGTAAACTTTGGACAGATTATCCACTACCATTATTCACAATTTTGCTTTGCATATAGAATATCCAAAAAATAAGATGTACATAATCTTTTCAAAGGTCATATTGTTGCTGCTTTTATTCAATTACTTTCGATCGTCCCATTCAATATCACTGTATATACTAGATAAGATTTTGTTGGTTACATCCGAACATATTTGATTTTTAGTTTTTTGATTTTTTTTTTGTTTTTTTTTGTTTTGTCTTTTTTTTTTAACGCTACAATTTAAAAAAAAATATCCGCATTGAACAAATTATAATTCACCACATGACAGGGTACATTAAAAATGTATAAAAATAAAATTCATTAAAGTACTTATAAAAATAAAATTCATTAAAGTACCTATAAAAATAAAATTCATTAAAGTACTTATAAAAATAAAATTCATTAAAGTATGTACAAAAATAAAATATAAAATGTGTATAAAAATAAAATATAATAAGTGTATAAAAATAAAATACATTAAAATATGTATTAAAATAAAATACATTAATGTATTTATAAAAATAAAATACATTAAAATATTATAAAAATAAAATACATTAAAGTGTGTATAAAAATAAAATACATTAAAGTGTGTATAAAAATAAAATACATTAAAGTATGTACAAAAAATACATTAAAAGTGTGTATAAAAATGAAATATATTAAAATGTGTATAAAATACATTAAAATGTTTATAAAAATAAAATACATTAATATGTGTATAAAAATAAAATATATTAAAGTATGTATGAAATAAAATTAATAAAAGCGTATATAAAAATAAAATTCATTAAAGTGTGTATAAAATACAATACATTAAAGTGTGTATAACATAAAATTAATTAAAGCGTGTATAAAAATAAAATTCATTAAAGTGTGTATAAAAATAAAAGACATTAAAGTATGTATAAAAAATATTATTAACATCAGAAATAAACAGTTGAAATTTCTAGAGTACATACGATTTTTTCTTTAAGCGTTTCACCCCAAGCAAAGCGGGAAGCCACTAGGACGCAAGGGGTTACAGAAAATTTGGAGCAAGATCAGATAGGAGTGACAGAGGAAAGGATGAGGAGAAGGATAGGGGATAGATCAAGACAACTGGAGATGTCGATTGACATTACATTTGAATAGCTGGAGATTATAGCTCTCATGGAAACTGGAATAGGGAAGGGAGTTCCACAGGCGAGAGGTGCGAGACATGAAGCTATTGGAGTAGAAGAGACGGCTACATTTAGTAGTTTCGACAGTGAAGGGGTGAGAGCGGGATGCCAGCCTCGTAGGGCGCTTGAACTCATGAAGTCTGGGAACCAGCGAATGCAGCTCCTCGGAGCAATTGCCATGAAAATATTTGTAAAACGGCGCGTCTGTGAGAAAGTGACTGTAGGCGAGATGCCAGATCAGGGCCAATTATATTGCATATCCGCCTCTGGAGCCTATCAAGAACCCCGAGGCAAGCAGAAGGGGCTCCAGATTATATATGGCAGCAATACTCCATGCAAGGGCGAATTGTTGATTTGTAGATCTGGAGGATCGATTCCGGGGTAATTATTACGAAAGTTTTTAATTCCTAGATAATAACTGTAGTTACTATTAACATTGTTTATACATTTCGGAGGAAAGAAAGAATGAACTTGAAAATGAGAAGCAAATAAGCGAACATAACATTTCACAGTTTATAACGTAATTAGATTTTGCTAAATGTCTTGTAATTTTTTTTTTTTTTTTTTACTTATATATTTAATGGTTCCTATCTTCACAGCTCCAATTCCTATGAAAAACCGTCTGCTTCCAATGTCTTTCTGGAAAGAACCAAACAAAACACACCCTATTCTGCCTCCAATTTCAAGCCAACATCACGGCGAAGATGATCTAGGTAAGTTTTTTCGGATTATATATTTTTCTCCTTATTCAACGAATAAACGAGTATATATTAAGTTCACACATTTTTCGTCAACGGTATAACATGAACACGTAAAACGTCCACTGCTATTTGGCAACGAATGGCTCATCTGGTCTACGTCTCAATAAAGCGGAAGTTAGAAAATGTCAGAAGGTACTCGGATATAAATATTTGCCTGACTCGTTACCCCAGCCCACACGCTGCTGCCATTCCAGATTCTTGATTTCAATCCGCTTGGAATGTATATTTATTCCTCATTGAAATACAGAAATATTGGCTCAAGGCTGAAGGGGAAGTGGGGAAAGACTGGTACTCAGTAACTATCCTATTCCTAATTAATTACAATCACGACCCATTCATTCAATACAATACACTCAATCACCACAAGAACTTGTCCATCACCTCTCAATCCTACATGTACCATAATACCACATATTCACCAGACACCTACAAAATACCCCAATCCGCTTGGAATGACCGCTAAAAAAGATCCCCTCCTCAAATTTATAGGCAAATCGTACAGATGCGTCCTGGGATTTCTTCCTAGCCAATAAAAATGGACCACTTCTCGGTCTTATCCGCCATATTTTTGTTCTTTCTTGTCTTGAAGTTAGAACGCTGCAATCACTCGACTGTAACCCTTTTACGTGTTAACATCATTCTTATTTAGCGAACTTTTTGCCATATTATTGTTGCTTTGCCTCGATTTGACTCGCATATATATCGTTTACTTAGTATTATTTTGCACTGTTCTTTTTATTTCTTTTGTCTTATTGAGAACTTTGTCAATTACGTTTATTGAGCATTTTGCTGATTGCACATAACCATGGCCAATTAGTCCACACAGAGTTTTTGTTTTGGCGCGGGGGGGGGGGTCAATGATTTTTTTTTTTGTTTCTTTTTTTTCTTTTTTCATGTTCTGTCCTTTTATTTATTTATTCAGTCTAAGAGATAAAACTAACCCTTCTGTTTATAAAGTCTTAATATAATAAAAAAATCTATATGACAAATTCTCTCACATAATGAAGAAAGACGGCTTAGAAAATTTGACACCCATAGGACATATTGAAGGCTAGACGAAGAGAGGAAAGCAGCGAATACCCTACCTAACGAGATTATGGTTGGCAGAACAGGGATTAGGAGGGATTGCAAATAGTAAACTTACGAAAATCTGTAAAGAAAATGAAGTTGTGAAGAACCATGATTGTCCAGACGGGACACGGCACATAGAAGAAAAGATGGCGAATTTTTAGAAGTCTTATAACGACGTTATTTCATTTGAATATTGTTCTATATCTGCCATTCTTAAACGACGCTTAAATTCAGGTAATTCTTCTTGCAAGGAAAAGAATACTAAACTGTTGCATGATATCTGTCCTCCGATATGGCTGTGAGTGCCTGACAATCTCCTGAAGAAGAGACTTGAAGCAACAGAAATGTGGTTCTACAGAAGGATGCTGAGTATACCATGGTCCGAACATTTGAGCAACGATGAAGTTTTAGAGAAAATGAAAACAAAAAAGAAACTTATACTTAACATTAGGAAGAGACAGTTGAGGTTTCTAGGGCACATAATGAGGAAAGACGGCTTGGAAAATCTGGTACTCATAGGACATATTGAAAATAAAATGGACAGAGGAATTCAACGCAAAACCTAATTAGTGAGCTTGAGTAAATGGATGGTGGAACAGGGTTTAGGAGAAATAACAAACAGACAAATTTTATTAAGAGCTACAAGGGGCGGGAAGTTGTGAAGAGCCATGATCGCCTACGTCCTGAATAGACAAGGTACATACATAGAGAAAAACATAAACAAAATTGTAATACGAGTTCTCAGTTATGTGGACCGCATTCGGTTAAAGCAGATTTAAGACCAAATTTTGACGTTTTTTATACTTTTTATTAGAAAGTTACACAGATTAAAGTTTTATTGTTGAAAATTACGTAAAAGCTTGTTGCCTGTCCTTTAGAAGTTGGCCCCTCAGATACGATGCCGTTATGAAACCATCCGATATGGAATCATCGTGTCAGAGCGCATTGATCTGATTGAAATAAAAAAAAAACTAATACTAGTTGTGCGAAAAATCTACTTGCGAATAAAGAAAGAAAATTGTAACTCTATTTAATATACCATTATTCACCAAATTCAAGGCCCAGTAACCATTCAAGGTAGAGGGACACTGGATGATGTTGTTGTATGGGCTTAAGAGAAGGAAGTAAGAAGTGCATATTATGGGGATATGTAGGATAGATAACGGTTGACACTAGACTATGTTCTTAACCACTAGAAGTGATCGGGAAGTCAGTTCCACAAAGTAACAGTTCTTAATTTAGTTCTGAATGAACTAGAAGCGGTTCCCATAAATGATCGGAAATACACTTTTATTATTGTTAGGAAACAATTTCAAATGCTTAAGTTTTCTTACTAAATGAGAATTGAAATTTTAGAGTATAGCGGACCGTGGATTTACGTGTTGTTAAATTAGGAACACGTGGGTTTATTCCAGCTAGAAGGTCCACTACAAGAACATGGCGGACTCAGAGACTGAATCCACCATAAAGAAGTGTAAAAGAAAACCAACAACACCGGTATATATATATATATATATATATATATATATATATATATATATATATATATATATATATATATATGTATGTATTAAACAACACAATTTTACAATTGACGTAGACATTAATATTTGTGTTTGTGTGTGAACGTAAAGAGTTTGTATTTTGGTGAATGTTCTTACGTACGTGTATGTGTATAATGTTCATGGCGTCTTCCACAAGTGAGAAGACGCAGTCTTCTGCGAGAGCTTACATTGTAGATGTGTTCGCTGAAAATGAAGAAAAAGAGAACGAAACAAGAAATCACCCAGTATTTATAGTGTAGGGAGAGCGCCTCCTAATGAACAATCAGGAAATTAAGGAGGAGTTAACTCCGACAAGAGTGAAACTCTTAATTCAGCCCTAAGAGTAAACTATCCTCTTGTTAAATATTTAAATTTGATGTAATTTAGAACATTTTCATTCTCTTCCCATATTTTCTGCTGAGAGAATATTTTTATAGACTACATTTATTTTTGTGCGTCATGTGCTTATGGAACGTTCACATGACCACATGGATAAAATACTAATTAAAATAAATTAAAATTAAAATTAGAAAAAGTGGGAGGTTATTTTTCCTTAGGGATGCAGTCACGTGACACTACAGTAGTCATAAATGGCGCCGAATTCAAAAGCCCTTTTTAACTTCTCCCTACTCGGACTGCTTCTTGGGCTTTGGACTGGGATCAGTGCGTAGTATCTGCTCTCCTTATTCTACAAGGGTGAAAGCACCTGGTCCCGGGGAGTCCAACCCTGCGGCAGCACCTACCTCATTACAATAAAAGTGTAATATCAGAGGAATATCGATGTCAGCGTGATAGTGATCGCGGGGAATGGGCACTGTTTCGATTGGCCAAAGGCAGCCCCATATCAAAAAGACCTTGTGTCACATGTTGCCACCGTGGGTAGACAAGTAAATAACCTCCCTTGGTGGACTGATACAATAGCGGGAATGATAGGATCAAGCGCTAAGGAAAACATTATTTTGGCGACATGTTTTCTTCTTGCTTTTGCGACGCAAACGTATTCTGCAACGTATTCTGGTATAGTGGAAGGTTTGGTGGTTACCATTTATTTAATGGTGTTGACGGTCCAAATCAATCCACACATTTTTTTACTCTACGAATATGTTAAGCAAAATGCAAAAACAACAAGAGAAAGCAACAAGAAACATTTGTGATAAAAGACAAAAGACAAATATTTGAATAACAAGTAATTTTCAATATATTTTTGTAACGAAAATATTTTACAAAAATGTAGTGGATTTTTTTTTAGGTGAAATCTTAATTTATGTTGAACTCAAGTTTGGTGAAAGATTAAATTTTGTAAATGAATTCTGATTTGAAAGGATGTTTGTTAGAATCTGTTATTGAAGATTCTGTAAATGAATTGCAAGAGAAAAATTTACATTTAAGAATTTACTGTTCTTGTAAGTAGTAAATGTTTGCAAAATTGAATGCAATTTTGTGATCAAAGAAGTTATCTACCTTTGATTGTTTTGCGTAATACAATGTTCTCTAATGTTGAGAAATAAAGTTGATTTGTTAGCAGGAATTTGTTTAACTTCTGCGTAAGGAATTTGGTGAGTGAATGGGAATAGAGTTCACTGGTGAGATTTTGCGAGTGAGTGTGAATATCGTTAAGTTTGTATAATGGTCGCATGGACGAAAAACTTAAGATTGTGTGACGTGAAGTTTAGTTGCAATTCGTTTGATGTCACGATGCTCACTGGAGAGTGTGAATGAGTTTCTGTTTTTTTTTTTGCTCCGGGTGGCTCACAGAGACTTGGCGCGAAATTAGCTAAGCGTGAGTGGATAGTCACGCCTACTTGTATACTTATTAACCAATGGGAGCTCGAGATTTTTTGAAAGTGTGTATGAAGTTGAAAGTGTTGTGATCCACTTTTTACACAGATTTGACCAAACTATATTTAGGTATTGGATAATGTAGAATTTGGTTTCTATACTGGAACTAAAATACACCGTAATATAAAAGTATTTTAAGGATAATTAAAATGCACCTTTAATTTTTATATTTATCAACAGAAAACTTTAAGAACTCAAGCTTATCAAATAAACTTTAGGATCATATGTAAAATAAAGGAACACGGTACTAAGAAAATTAATTGAAATAGGAACAGAAGCATATGAAGGATAAGTTCGAGGAAGCATACGTGTTATATTTAACTTAAAGTAGCTTGATCGCTAAAAAAAGAGCATAACATAATTAAAAAGACCCCAAACTTGACGAAAACAAAATTTTATCGTCAAAATGTTTGTTATTATTAAGAGGAAAGAACAAAGTATTTTTAATTATTTTTAAAAAATTTCCTTCTTTTTTAGAATATTCTAATGAATTTTTAAAACAACTATTTGTTATTTCTTAAATTATTTTATTATTTTTACATTAAAGTTGTTAAATATTCTAAAATTAGTAAAAATGATGTACAGTTTAGTCAAAAGTGTTATTAAGTAAATCTATCTTTACAGCATTATAAATTGTAAAGCTTATTATAATCAACGAACCACCAGTGTATTAAAAATCCAATTTTGCATTGCTTTTGTGTCCATTAAACGGCTGCAATTCAAATGTACAGAAGACCGAAAGCAACATGAAAACAATAAAACGTCACGTTATTTGAGTTACTATAAACGTTGTTCCCCTCTGTTACGGACTTTATTTTTGCGAATTGTTCGTGCAAAACAAGCGTAGAGAAGTTAATTTGATTTTTTAATTTCAACTGAGAAGGGTTCCTTCTTATTAAATTTATATGATCTTATTTTTATATTATCTCAGTTATGACATTTTTCCATAAATGAAATATCAAAATTAATAATAAAATGAATGGAAATACAAATAACGCAGCAAAATGTAATAAATGTACATAGAATTATAGTATTTTACGTATACATCTGATAAGATTTCATAAGAAAGGTACCTATAAATTAATTAGATACCTTTCTTATGAAATTTTATCTCACTCTTAACAGTCTTACTTTAATTTTTTTTATAATATATTTTCAATAAGGCGTCGTAAACGTAAAGGTGAAGTACAAAAAAAGAAAAACAAAAAAATTAGAGTGCTGAAAGTTTTATTAAAAATGACCAGGTACATAATTGGTTCACTTAAATGTAAATAATTATGTCACTTCTCTCCTTCTGTAGGATAAATTTCCCTCACGTAGGCTATCAGTACGTGATGAAATCATCACCTGCCACTTGTCAATTGACTCCAAATGATCTTATTTTTATATTATCTCAGTTATGACATTTTTTTTCATAAATGAAATATCAAGACCTGCTTTGTCTTATTTTTAAACTACATTTTTTCGGCGCAGAAAGTAAGTAATGTTTCTTTCAAAATATTTTAAATAAACTTTATAATTTATAATTTTCTTAGAATAAATTTTGACAAAACTATAATTGATTTTTAAAAGAATTTTAAACGGAGATTTTCATTTTTGTTTACAAAATGGAAAAAATGGTTGGCATGATCGATTTTCTGTCAATTTTGCTGACTCAAAAAAAACAAGATTTTTAACGAAAATTTTGTACGTCCTAGAAATGATTAAATAAATGTAAAAAAAATACCCCAAAATACTTTGATCTTTCCTCTTGATAATAGCATAAATATTTAGACAGTAAAAATTATTTTCTTCAAATTTAAGGCCCTCTTTCATCCTGATATGCTCTTTTTTAGCAATTTTTTAGAGGTACCTAAAAAACAAGATACGGAATTTATTTATAAGTTTACACATTTAGAGTTGTCAATAGCTTGTTTCAGTAAAAGGAATCAAATATATAAAGTTCGTAGTTTCGGTGAATTGTCAAGAAGAGAAAATGTTCATATTAAATCATCAGACACAAAATAATATTCCAAAATATTCCGCACTCTTTTCCATTGGTCAAAATAAATTTTCACGTAGGCTTGTTAAGCTGCGCCTTGGTCTTTTCTTCGGCCCGGAGCCAATCCCTTTTTCCATTGGCCAAAATAAATTTTCGCACCGGCTCACGAATTTGAAAACAGTGAATAAAGGGGTTATTTTTATTTCGTATTCACCACAAAACAAACAAGTCAACAAAAAGATGTATTTTCCCCACACTAGACAAAAGGACAAATAAATAATGTGATGAAAAATAAATACACTATAGAATCCCAGAGCAATTTCTTTCATAATAAAAAAAATCAATATTTTTTCTTCACAGGTATCAATGTTGAGAACTTATCTATTGACCATGGCGAGGCATCGGCCCAAGAAAATCAGATCCCAAAATGTCAAGTTTTTGTTTCGAGTAAAAGTGATCAACTGACGGAACAACTTTTCGAGTGCGTCAATAATGAGACAAAATTTACCAAACGAAAGTAAGTGCGCTTTTATAAACACACCATTTTTATCTTTACACGATACAAGGCCATATTGCGGAGTGGAAAACTGAAGTACAAAGATTGGACTGCCAAATATTTCCTGCGGGCAGGCTTTCTTATCTTAAAATTCAACGCTTGACACCATGGTTTTTATCTGGACCGGAAAACCAATGCTTAGCAAGGGTGACAACCATCTCACCCATTAAACAGGTTGATGTATCTTTGTAAAACAAATAAACTTTGTTCAGAACATACTTGGAGGCAATTAATAATTTATTGACAGAATGTTTCTAAGGTAATTCTGATGCGTAGATGCCGATACTTGAAGTTAACTTATTCTGTAGCAAGACCATTGTAGTAAGTTACCTAGTGAGGATAGTACTCACCAGGACTAAGATTTTGTTAAACTACTTGAATAAACATTCTTTTAGTGTAGCTGTCGTGTGTGAAATAGGGGCGTGATTTGCCCAGTATTCAGTTAAATAAGTATACTAATATTTGCTTCTCACAAAATAATTCTGAAGCACTAAAATGGTTTTATTATTATTATTATTATTATTATTATTGTTGTTGTTGTTGTTGTTCTTGTTCTTGTTTTTGTTGTTCTTGTTGTTGTTGTTGTCGTTGTTATTCCTTTGATTTCTGTTGTACACACATTTCCTTCCGGGTCCCAAACAGAGAACTAATGTTAGAAACGGCTCCATGACATTTTTCACTGATCAGTTTTATAAAAAAAAATGTTTTTTTTAAATAAAATCACATACATTTTACATAGATAGAGCTCTTCTTAATGTGTAAGTTGTACTTGTGAGTACAACTTTTTTGCATTTCTTTAAGGTATGAACTACCAGTAATAATAATAATAATAATTATTATTATTATTATTATTATTTCTTTTGACTTCTGTTGTGCACACATCTCTTCCCGGGTTCTGCCCAGAGACCTAAGGCTAGAAATTGCATCATGACATTTTCCATTGACCAATTAAACAAAAAACACATGCATACACACATATTTTACATAGATAAAGGTGTGGGCTGTACTCGTGAGAACATTTTTTGGGGGGATTTCTTTAAGGCATGGACTTCCAGGAATCCCTTCAATGAGAATCAACCAATCAAGGGCTCCAACTACAACAGGGATTGTGGACGTTCTCATGTGCCACATTTTTGAGATTTCGATTTGAAGGTCATTGTATTTTAATAGCTTTTTGAAAATCTTCAAAGATACATTGCAGTTTTCAGAGACTGCCATATCAATAAAGAGGCACTTTTTTTGATTTGTGGGTTTCTAATAACGATGTCTGGGTGGTTAGCTTTGATTGTTCTGTCTCTGTGTATTGTGTAGTCCCATAAAATTCTAACAGATCCTATCTCCGTAATCGGGTCTGGGTGGTGTTTATACTAATTTCTTTCAGTTTTCCTTCCCGTAGAAGTTGCAGATTTTCCAGTGCAGATATTGGCCCACTCTGTCATGCCGGGTTTTATATTCAGTGGGTGCCAATACCGTGCAACCTGATACAAGATGATCAATTGTTTCTGGATATTTACCTCAGAATCTGCATTTTGGGCGAACACAATATTTTAGTATGTGTGCTTGATAATTTCTAGTTAATAAGCATTGGTCGTGTGCAACAAGGATAAAACCTTCGGTCTCAGCTTTTAACCCAGCACTACGTAGCCACTGATGGATACGGGGTTTTGTACCAAACAAGTTGATTTATCAACTTGTTTGGTACGGGCAGAGTATTGCCATGAAGCGGTTTATCTTGCCATTGTTTCTATATCTTGTCGGTTACATTTGCTTTTGCTTTTCTTTTTTAAGTATGTCGTAGCTTCTGTCGGTGTATTGTGCTTTACTTGTATTTCTGCACCCATTTGAAACGCCATTTTAAACTTGTTGGCTTCCTTTATTACAGAATAAAGACGCATACTACTATCATGTTCTTTGACACATATCATTATCCAGTCTCCTGAAGTTTTTAGGTTTTTTAGTTTTTAAGGCCAATTGTTGTAGTTCTAGTTGAACTAATCCTCTGCCTCCTTCGGATCTGGGCACATACAGACATCAGCTTTGGGATGATGCATGCGGTAGCAAATGAGAAGCTTTCTCGTTTTGGCGGCCATACTTAATGTCAGGTATGGTCTAGTTAAGGATGTTAACGCTGTATTGCACTACAGGGACAGCCAAGGTGTTTATAGCTGATATTCTGTTGTTTTTTTTTAATTCAGCTCTGTATTCAGTACCAGACGCAACGCACACGGCTGTAGTACTCCTTTCTTACCTTCTCCTTCATCTGGGCATATTGTATACCATCTCCTTCACTAATTCCTAGGTACTTATAGGCTTCATCTTGTTCCAGTTCCCTAATCTTTGTGACAAAGTCTAAATGTCTAATTATTGTTATTATTATTATTATTATTATTATTATTATTATTATTATCTTATACTACGGTCATTTAGTGTTTATGAGTGGGATTCGAGTGACAGTATACATTTCCCCAGCCTCCCCCACTAACGCAGGATGTGACACAACGTTCAGACACGTGGAACGAACTCTCTCTCTCTCTCTCTCTCTCTCTCTCTCTCTCTCTCTCTCTCTCTCTCTCTCTCAGATATTGTGACAAAAAAACCCTCAGATCCCACACACTTTACATAGATAAAGCTTTTCGCAATGTGTGAGCACTACTTGTGGGTACAATTTTTGTATTTCTTTAAGGTATAAGCTACCAGGAATCCCTTCAATGAATCTCTCTCTCCCCTTTCCAATCAATCAGGAGGCTACAACTACAACTGGAATTATTGATGTCTTTTTGTGTAGCATTTTTTAGATTTTCATTTCAAGATTTCGATAGTTTGATAGTTTGTATTCTCATAGTTTTTTGAAGATCTTCAAATATTATTATTATTATTATTATCTTTAAAATTATTAAATACTTCATAACTTGTTGTTTACAGGCCAGTAAAATCACAGCAGGTTAAAAACTTTAAGCCAGAACTGTTGCGCCGAGGAGACCCTTTTCTAATCGAGAATATCCTTGACAAATTGCCACCTTCCTTGACGATCGGCGAACACCAGACTCTACAAATCATACGGCTCAAGAGGATGTCGGATCCGCCAGTTGAGCTGCCAACGATAGCCGTCAAGAACAATAACTCACAAAAGTTGGCTAAAATCGTTGAAATGCTGTAGTCGGGATTTAACGACTGGAGTCGTTGTCAACGGACCGGCCATATTTCAAATCTCATATCCTTTCTTTTTACTTATTTTACTTTTGTCATTTTTCTTTTAATCTAAAACACCAGAAAATATAGTACTTCACACATACATATACACTCAGACACACGCATACACACACACACACACACACACATATATATATATATATATATAGGGAAAAGATATATAAAATTTTATGCCAGATCGATGTTGGAAAAATCAATGACAAAGTGGCAAAAATTTCAAATTTCAGCGCCTCCCCTCTGCGCGTATGTGTATTCACATCAACATAAACATCATTTTAGTCCTTTGAAGTCCTAAAGGACGAAACGCATCAGGTGAGAAAAATTTCCACTTTGTCATTGGTTTTCCTAACATTTCTATATATATATATATATATATATATATATGGCGCGGTAGAAATACCTCTCACATATACCTCTCAGAAATCAATATCTACGACATAATGGTAAATCAAAGATGAAGACACCATTACCACTAATGTCATACCATTATGTGGCTGATATTACTGGGAGGTATATGTGGAAGTTATTTCTAACGCCACTTTGTGCATACATAAATATATATATATATATATATCGGATTATACAAATTTCATTTTAATTAACCAACAACAGCCTCGACTATGACACTCATATTGTGAGTTAATGACGTTATCATTAATTATATTATAACGAATGAATTCACTCATAGTTGGGTATCAGTGTCTGCTCTTATTTTTGCATGTAGCTAATTCATTCCCAGTTGATCAGATCAAAAGCCATCCTACAGTTCAATAATTTCTTTTTTAACTCTTTGATATTATTTCATATATATGTTATGTTTATATATTTAGATACAATGTACATATGAGAAATGCTTTGTGTATATATTAATGAGACTGGCTGGATCAGACTCTATCAGGTGATCTCGAACTTATAAGAATTAATTTTTGTATAATTATTGTTGATAAAAAATTTTTTCAAATGACCGTTAAATGACTTCCCAACCAAATATTTTGTACTTTTATACATTTTTTCCACTTTTTAATAATAATAAGGCAGATTTGAATCTTTCTTTCTTGTAATGATTTGGTTTTCTGATAAAAAAAAAAATGTCATCACACACGTTACTATTTTTATGTTGCATCAAAATTTTGTAAGAAAATAGAAAACCGTTCTAAATTAGTCGGGTGACTTAAATATAAATCCATGTACTCATTATATCATAAAAGAGAATTTAGAATTACAAATTAATCTTATTGAAAGGGCCCATCCACACCAAGAACTGCTGATGCCCTTAAGAAATTTTGAAAAATATCCACGATTCTTAGCGAAAATAAAATGGTAATCATTCAATTTTAATCCATTTTGCCCGATATCTAACATCCATCTTGCTTCCTTCCACCTTTCTTTTTTTACTCCCCCTCTCCGATACGTTTTATTGCAATATATTCTTTAATAAATACGCATAAAGCGTTTATATAAAATTATATTAATTAAATATTAAATTAAATTACGCAAACTTCTACCGGTTCACTTAATACAATATGGCGTCAAAACCTTTTATGTCTATAATAAAAGTTTTTCTTCAATCTATACTGTCTACATATTCAAAGATAATCGAAAAATCTTCCATTTAAAAATAGACCAATGGCTGCACTCAAGTTGCTATTTTGTAGAAATACTATTTAAGATATTTGCCAACATTAATAATACCTCCTAGCTATTAAAGTTTAAGATCTTATAATGCACACAATGTCGAAAAGATTATTGACGCTATCCTTTTTAAAAGAATTTCGGATTAATATTATTATCACCTAATCAACCAATCATTATTTCTGTCGATTATCAACTGCCTTGACAGCATTTTTTTAAAATTGATAATACCGTCCTTTTAAGAAACTGTGATAATTTGTTGTTGTGAATATTGATTACTGAATGATTTTGTTTACTGTTGATTGTAATATTGTTAGAAATTATTGCCTTTCGAAGTTGAAAATGAATTATAAAAAGACGAAACATTAGTCACCGTTGAACCCGGCTGACATTTTGAAAATTTGAGGCGATCTATGTTTAAGAAATACTTCTACAGACTTGGGGAAACATGGAAAAGTTTTTTTTGTTTTTTTCATTTGTTTATTTTTTAATAGAAAATTCATGAATTTAATCCTTTGAAATCGACTTCAATTTTTAAGCAAACAGTATTAAACCTATGCGCACACACACACACACACACACACACACACACACACACACACACACACACAAACACACGCATACAATTTGGCTTGCCTCTTTTCCACCATAAAAAAATATGCACACAATATCTAAAACAGAAATTATTTCTCTCTTACACATACACAATTTATCAAAAACTGTATTTCACATATCGCAAGAATATGGCCGAAAAACTCAAGACTTTCATTCTCTCTCTCTCTCTCTCTCTCTCTCTCTATCTATCTATCTATCTATCTATCTATCTATCTATCTCTTTCTCTTTCTGTCTATCTATCTATCTATTTACATTTGCAAATTATTTAAACATGGCAGCCAATATATTCGTTTATAAATCAACCTAAAATTATATCAGACACACACGCAGAGACGCAATCAAATTTTACATAGACATATAAGTCTCGGAAATAAACGCATACACACACTCAATACAAATCTCGAATGAACGCTGATCTCAAACCGATTTTGCTTTCTAATTAAAACATCAAGAATGTGACCGTAAGAAGTGATTTCTTTTGCACTATCTTGTATATTTTGATCCTGCCAATTGGCAATGGGAGATAATTATTGCCATTTACTGTTATAAACTGCAGGACGATATAAAATACGGAAACCAAGCAACATTTGTTACAGAATACAAAACAGTATTAAATCTTGCACATCCTAACTCAAAAAAGTAATTCCGAAAAATATGCTGACAGGTTATCAGCATATAAGTGACAAACAAAAAAGCTGTTGTTTGATGATGCGAATAAACATCGAAACATTAGTATAATCAATTGCGCTTTCTTATTTGTTAGTCAGCATTCAGTTATATTTTTCGTTTTATCGTTTACGCTTGAAAATGTCTTCTGTGTGATTTTTTTCAAGTCGTGTTACCAATGAACCAGTGAAATGGTAACTATTTTAGCACTTGTTTCAACTGTGTCTTTTTTTTTACTCTATATATGATATAATTAAACAGCATGAAGTGCGAACGACCATGAGATTTGATTTGTCAGTCTAACCCCTCCTCCCTTTGTATATTTTGATGGTCAATACCAACATGGCCGAGATAGTAATTAACAGCATTGGAGTGGTTCAAATTGTACTTTTTTATGTATACTTTATGTCTCTGTATTGATGGACATACAATTATGGAAGAATCAAGTGAATTAAAAATATCAGTTTTAAAAATGACACATCAAATTTTGATTAGATTATGTAGGTTGTTCCCTTGTTACACAATGCTCATTAATTATATTAATTTGCGATTTATGTCATCCCTTATTGTTATTCTATTGCCAGGTTGCTGTATCAAACTGTTGGCTTTTTTTAAATATTGTTTTACTTTAAATTTTATCAATGTTATTCCATTCAATAATCATTATAATATCATTCAATATTATAATGTTTTATTGCTGCATATTTATTATCTGTAAATCTTACTCGTGTGATGTAACTTTCTGTCATTATATTCTCTATCATCAAGCGATCAAGGGAAGTTTGCCTGGCCTTATTAACGGCCACACTGTTTAGCACGCCACACACACAGAAAAACACACATACATACACAAACATACACACACATACATCCATACATTATACCTACTGAAGAGTGGACGGACAGAGCTGCCAACAAAAGCTTGGAGTCGAGGTATTTAAGGTAATAACTATCAGCTAAGTGACAATCATTTACACATATTGATTATATATATATATATATATATATATATATATATATATATATATGCACACACGAACACATATATAATAATAATAATAATAATAATAATAATAATAATAATAATAATTGTATGTGGGCCTAATACTGTACAATAATTTTTTTTATTATTATTACTATTATTATTAATATTATTGTCTTTTTCGAATTTCTTTCTAATATACACATATATATACATAAACATACACGTACACCCACACGCGCACATATATATAATGTGGAGTTGGTAAAAAAAAATCTAGTAGACTAAGTCCTTCCAAAAGAAATTATGTTTGTTCATTTGGTCAGACTTTTCAGTATCCACCTGATATATATATATATATATATATATATATATATATATATATATATATATATATATATATATATATATATATATATATTTATATAGAGTTCCACACATACTACCCCTGATCCTATACAGAGAGTTGAGAAGACCACCACTCGAATGCCGAAATTTTCCTTATAAGGAAACGGATAATATTACCATTAGTCCTAAGCAGGGTGCACCGATTTTGCAGATCCGTTTGTAAGTAATTTTTGATGGGTAATATGATTGTATATTAGAACTAAGACCAAATTGTTAATAGCACGCAATCGTGAAATTGTGAAATCCGTCGTCATCCTGTCTGGAGATGGTCGGAAAGAAAACACATAGAAAAGATGCAAACTCTAAATTCATATATATATATATATATGTGTGTGTGTGTGTGTGTGTGTGTGTGTGTGTGTGTGTGAGTTAGCGTGAGTGAATGCAAACTGAATTGATCTCGACTAACAATACTTATTGGCAAATAATCAGCTGTATTAAAAAAAGAAACAAATACATGGCATTGGATCATATTAGCAAATAAAAGATGATCTAATTGATATTTGTGAGTCGGGAAAAACTTTGTGAAACGGTCACATTTAAAAGAAACAATGAGGATCGATCCCCCTTTCACTAAATTAAAAATATCTCTTCTCGAAAAGCAATACTCCAAGGAATCTACTAACCGTTTAGTAATCTCCCAATGGAACATTTATTTAGCATTCAAAGCGAATATCTTCTTTTAATCTATTTAGTAAACAGTATATTTATTTATTTACATCTACCGGCCTGAATATTCGAGAAATCTTGTTAAAAAAAAGAATTGCGGCCTCCGACAAGATTCGAACCTGCATCTCCTAAAAGAAACCATTGCTAGATCAGACGTGACTTAGAACACTCAACCACATACGACCTTCTGTCCAAACAAACCCCGCATAGTGCTTTTGAACACGTATAATTTCGAGAATCGGGAAGATATGTGTTTAAAAGCACTATTCGAGCTTCGTCTGCCCTCGAGATTTTACGCGGCCTCGTGGTCTAAAACACGTCATCTCTAATGACAACTTCCCTTAGGAGACGCAGGTTCATTTCCTGTACGGAGATGCATATTCTTTTTCTAACAAGATTTCTCGAATAGTCAGGCCGATAGTTGCAAATAAATAAATCTTCTTTTAACTTCATTGTAGTTTTAGAGACCAATATTTTATTGAGCCATATTTTAACATTCAAATTTTGGCATTCATATTTCTAAGTATTTCGCCCGGTATTATATATTAACATATTTTGAAAACGAAATCATGTTTATAAATGTAACTTCTATTTCATTCGATGTTTACCTTCAATTACATTTTTTACGTAGAAGTAATTCATTTCGTTGACGTTTCAATCCTTACACACATCTGTCTTGAAATGTTGCATTCGCGATTTATCTTAGATTATATTTTTTTCTGTTATTTTTTGCACAAATTGTATTTGATTTTAAGACATTTCACTTTTTTCCTTTTCTTCTATTCCATTATATATATATATATATATATATATATATATATATATATATATATATATATATATATATATATATATATATATATATATATATATATGGAGAGAGTGAAAAGCAGTGTGGACATAGGTATCAACGCTGAATGGAGAGCATGTTTCATACGTAAACGCAATCGCCAGGCCTGACGATTGAGTTTAAGCATGAAACATACTCCCGCTGTCCAATGTTGATACCTATGTCCACACTACTTTTATTTACATATGCTCTCTCTCTTTCTCTCTCTGATATTACGTACTTTTAACCCATAAATATAACATACCTTGAAAACTATTATCTATACTCTATATATATATATATATATATATATATATATATATATGTTGTGCCTGCGTTTGTATGTGTGTGTGTACGTGTCAATATACAGGATGAGTTTTCACCTTGAAATATATAATCTTGCATAATACCCCAAAGAAATGACGAGATTATTTTCATATGGATTGGTATCAGTGTGCTCTACCTAGGATCAAAATGTCGCTTCCCAGCTCTCTAGTCAGAATCAAACTATAGTATCATTTCGCTCTGTTAAAAGTGTTACACAGCACACACACACACACACACACACACACACACACACACACACACACACACGCACACACACATATATATATATATATATATATATATATATATATATATATATATATATATATATACATGGATACATTTTATGTGTATATGTAGATTATGTTTTACTGTTCAAATGTCACTATTTACTTTCTTTTCTTATTGTTTTAATGCATTGATACAAAACACTTTAATTGTAAAAATTAATATAAATTCATTTATATTTCTTCAATGTTTACATGTGATTGCTTAATTATCCGATTTTTGTACAAACTCATTATATTATTATTATTATTATTATTATTATTTGTTTATTTTTTGTTGCTTTCTTCTGACAAAGTTTCTTTTTGTACTTAACTTTTTAGTTACATGATTGTTGTAGCTAAAAAAAAAAAAATACGTCTGTATCTTTATCCAATGAAGGAATCACAAATTCCAATATTGATATTATAAATATTTTGAAGGTCAAAATTCCAGCTGCCAAGTCACGGAATCAATTTATTTTGTCCTCAGCATGTCCACTGCTCATATATATATTCTGTCGATAAAACTTCTGGTTGAAAATTCGCAAAATTACTTTTCTTTATAAAAATAATGAACCAAAATTATGTTTTTATTTATTTTATTTTTTATTTTTTTAGGAGTACGGATTCATATATGTAAAGAATATTCTAGAAATATTAGCTATTTAAAAATTCGATATGTCATGCCAGATTTTACGTCGATTCTATGTTTGATGAATAAAATTAATTATTATTATTAAGAATCATTAGAAGGGTCATTATTTTGTTAGTTTCTTGTTTCCACAATGTATCACTCGATCCACCACTCCTAACCCTTCTCTTCCCTTACTGAAGCGAATGGAGAATAGATCGAAAGAAACGCTATTATAACAATAAAAGCAATACAAAGAACAAATTCAACAACTCAAACAAGCATAAGAATAAGTATAGAGCAAATATCTTAACCGACTGACGTTTACTTGATAATCCTAAGCCGTCTTGTAATAAATGGTTGGCTATCAAGTTCATAGGGGATTGTGGAATTACTCTCACTTAGTCTGCCAGGACGCCGTTAGGTGGCGCTGTTAAACAGCTATAAAAAACGTGACGCTTCCAGTTTCTTCTACTTTTCCTTTCTTTCCTTCTAGTATTCAGTAGAAGTAACACCTGCACAGGACTTA